ACTATATCTTTATTTTAATCAGTCAAAATACTCCATCTTTATCTTAATCAGTCAAAATACTATATCTTTATCTTAATCAGTCAAAATACTCCATCTTTATCTTAATCAGTCAAAATACTATATCTTTATTTTAATCAGTCAAAATACTCCATCTTTATCTTAATCAGTCAAAATACTATATCTTTATCTTAATCAGTCAAATACTCCATCTTTATCTTAATCAGTCAAAATACTATATCTTTATCTTAATCAGTCAAAATACTCCATCTTTATCTTAATCAGTCAAATCTTATACACAATCTCTATTTCAGTCAAATATAATACTCACATTATATGTTGTAGTCCTATCAGTATCTGTGTATAATGCCCTTTTAACACTAATTCCACCACTTTCTCTTCCAATTTGGAAATAATCCAGACCTTTAGCATCACCAACCAATTCATAATAGACTGTGTTACTTGGTGCCTGATATAAAACAAAAATGACATCTATAATACAATTCATTTGACAATGATATAGAGTTTAATAATCAACTGTCACAAAATTCCAAACTTTAGCTGAGGGCCTACTCTTAATATAAATTTTAGCCGCAAATGAAAAACAAGGCATGTTTATAAAAATGTTTTTGATAAAAATAAGTAGAAACTTACAGTATTGTCATCGTCTTTAGCTTCAACAGTTATGAAAACTTCAGATAATTGTTTTGTTTCACCAATAGTATCAGCATAACTAACAGCTTGCCAAACAGGATCAGCCAAGTTTCTCACTACAGTTATAGTCACTAAAGCTGTGGCACTATTTGGGTTAGTTTGAGAGTCTTTAGCAACAATTCTCAACTGAAACAAAAAATAAACACTTCACTCATATTTTATATTGAAAGAAAGTCTGAGATTTCATGGAGCAAATCAACATATCAGTCTCCCTTATTAACTTCTATAACTTTCAAATTCAAAGGAAGATTTGATTTGATCTTTCTGCACCTAGTAATTTCTTTAGGTTTCATTATATCATTAGGTTATTTTGTCATTAAATGTCTCTTGATGAGTTAGGTGTAGATTTTCTATACTTATTTCAGTAACTTCTATTCATCTTGTGAACATTGCTATTAATTTTGTGACAACTTCTATTTATCTTTTGACAACTTCTAATTATCTTGTGACAACTTCTATTTATCTTGTGACCATTGCTCCTCATTTTGTGACAACTACTATTCATATTGTGACAACTTCTATTTATCTAGTGACAACTTCTATTCATTTAAAATATACTTACAAAATATTTGTCTCTACCATCATCTTGACCTAAACTAGTAATTACTGATATAGCACCGCTTGGAGACACTCTAAAATAATCTGCTGCTGGCGGATCTCCAATTAATTCATAAGATATTTGACTAAACTCAGGCTGAAAACAGAATAATGTTAGGTTATTTTTCAAGCTATATACAGTACACTATTCAAATTGATGCAATTTGTCTAACTGAAATACACATGTATATATACAAATTCTGTATTACTCGAACTGTTTCAATTACTTATCACTCTGTGTTGATCCAATATTCAAATTCTTCTAACTCTCTAGAATTACTGGAATAATTTATTGATCTCAAAAGATTATAATTGTTATATATACACTTACTCTTGCATCAGAATCATTGGCAAACACTGTTAAAAATGGAACATTCAAAGTCTGGTTTTCCTGTATGGTTCTATCAAAACTTCCAAAAAATATAGGAGCATTGACATTTCTATCAATATTGATAATAACATAAGCTGATCTTGGTGCAGTTTTATTAGTTGGTAGTCCATTATCAGATACTCTAACAACAGCCTACAAAATCAAATTACATAGCTTTTCTACTAACGTAACACATAAAAATGAAATGGAGCACTTTTCTGCTACAGATTGGGATGATCTTAAGTTATGAAGATTGAAAACATCATGCAGTGTGCACTAAGGTAAATTAGTTCTTTTCAATTTTAACTGTAGACTCTATAGTACAGAGATTCTTCAGCATGGAGCATATTTGTTTTTAGTTTAGAAGATTTCGGTTTGCTATTATAAAGATAAGGATAAAGAGAATAAAATATTTTGTATGTATTTGTTTGTATGTGCAGTACATATTGTTTAAATGTAGTCGTTTAAATCTTACTGAACATCATTTTATCAAAAATAAATAAATACAAGCAATTTCTCGTTCGAACTAGTGTAAGATCAGTGGTTTTCACCCCCACTATATTATTAACAAATTTAAAAATATGATTTTTATACATTTTTGCTCCAAAATATGTGTCAGAAAGCACCAAATCAATTCAACAGTTGTGCACCCATTGAGTCAGTCTACCCCTTATTTGTACCCCCAGGCTGTGTAAGATATGGAATAATTCTTACATCAAGACGTGTTAATGTTGTGTCTCGTACAGTTCTTGACAAACTAACATCCCCATTACTAGCAACTTGTAAATAAGTTTGTGCTGTTGTATCACCAGCTACAGTAAATGTTAATGTATTGTGAGGTGCCTACAAAAATAAAACATATACAATTATTATCAACAACATACATATTCATACTAGTTATCCTGATTGAATTATTACACCTAAATCACGCATCAACAGTAAAAGATGAGCTCTCATTTTTATTAGTAAATATGACATTACTTTATAAATATAAGTTCACGAATTTTCCCGTCAGAGATCTGAGATTCAAATATGGACAAAACAAAATTGCATTGTTGTTAGAAAAAAAGATTTTTCTACGAGCGATAAATAATGTTTATATAACTTACTGTTCTGTCACCATCTGTAGCTTCTATTCTTATTATAGGATCATTAACAGGTTTTGTATATATAATGGTTTGTGTATAGTTCTGGGTAATTAAAGATGGTGTGGCGGTATTTTTATTAACAGTAAGTGTCACTACAGCTTCATCAGATAATCCTGGTCCATCAGTTGCTCGTACTCTCAACTACAATAGACAAATATGTTTCAATAATAGTTGTGGTCAGGAACCTTTATAAATCAGGGGAGAGCACTAACATCATATTAGGATCTGTTGGTCAAGTTGTCAGTTGGCTAAAGGTGAGGGGACACAAACTGTTTTTGTTACCCAAATTTGTCAGTCTAAACTTGTCAAGAGTTGTTCCACCAGGCTGCAGTTTTGTGTCATGTCTTTTCAAAAGACAAGTTTATAAAGTTGAACACAAATTAGAATAAGAATCAAATTAAGGATATAATAATTATCATAATCTTACAGTGTATTCAAATTTTAGAGGTGAATCCTGGCTCAAATCTCTTCTAACAGCTACAATACCAGTATTATCAATTTGGAAATATTCTCCAGATGATCCATCCCCAATTAACGAATGTGTGACCAGGTTGAATGGGGACTATAAAATACAAATTAACTCTCTAAATACACATCTATTGTTTGTGAAACATAACTGAATTAAACACTTTAAGTTTGTAAAAATGCTGACTATTAACGAATCTAGTCTAAACAATTAGGAACGATAGCATTAAGTCAACTTGATCAAAATATGAAACATAAAGTTTAGACATTCTTAAGTCACTAGCTGTAATGCACCAGACAATATCTATAAATGTTGAAGTCAAAGTCACAGTATAAATTATGAGATTGAATTAGTCACTAAGATACTTACAATTGTATCAGGATCTACTGCTCTGATTGTACCAACTTGAGTTCCAACACCAACATTGACATCAATGGGACTCAAAGAAAAACGATCAGGTGTAAAAACTGGAGCTTGATTCCTTCTGACATTAATTGTAAGTTGTGCTGTATCAGATCTGGGAACGACACCCTGATCAGAAGCTTTAATTGTCAGCTTTAAAAAAAAGAAACAATATTACATAGACTGAAAATACTACATGTACATAGTTTTAGTTGGTAATGAGTAAACTTTGTTTCATTATTTCATGACCCTCATGTCAAATAGAGTCAGATGAATTTTACCGATATGAACATCATCATGCATAAAGTATTGGTATTGCCATTTATTTCTATCTTGACTATTTAAGGTGATTATGAGCCCATTTCATAGCTACATACTTAATTTTGTCAGTTTGTGGACTTCAACTTATGGATTGTGAGATAAGTACATGTGTGTATGATTATATATTAACTTACAGTATAAACAGTAGCTCTAGCTGGATCAGACGTCAATAAATCTTTCACAACAATTTGACCACTTGATGGATTGATATAAAATAAATTGGAACCAAATGCTGGCAGAGAATTATCAATAGAATAAATAATTCTTCCATTATTCTGAAATAGATAAAGAGCAAGAATTACACAAAATTCGTCAATACCAACAAATCCATATTTCATAGGGTTTCACTATTAAAATAGTGCTCCTTACAGAAATTGTAGAGTGATATGGAAATGTTAAAAAACTTAAAACTTTGAGTAACAACATTTTTCAGGTTTTGTTTTAATATTTCTATAAAATAATGCTTAGTTCTAAAAATATTTTCACAATATTACCAAGACAGTAATCTAAAAATCCCTCTAAAAAAATCCAAAAGAAGTAATAGAATACAAAACTAACAAATATTATAAAAGTAAGTAAAAACAAGTCAAAATACATAAAAATATTTGAAAAACAAAAATAAGGGTGTAAAAAAAAATGCTATCAGATGAACCAACCAAAATACTTACCCCAGAATCTGTATCTGTTGCAACAGCAGTGCTGATTAGTTTACCAATAACTTCTGTTTCTAAAAGGTTGACATCAACTGTGTTTAGTTGTAAAACTGGACTACCATCATTTGCATCCTAGATAAAATCATGAATAAATACAATAAGCTGGACAAAATAAAAAGCATCACATTTTTTATTTAGCAGTATTTCAATTATCAATGTTTAGTTCAACGAAACAGTATTATACAGTGTCGATATCATTTTAGATGGAAATTCTAGTTATTTCTAATGAGTTCATATAGGTTGTTAAACAACCCAAAAGATCAATGACTTACCAATATATTAACAGTAACTGTAGCTGTTCCTGATAATTCATTCTTGTTCTCACCATCAGTTGTTGTTACTCGGAATACATATCTTGGTTTAGTCTCGAAATCTAAAGCATTAACTTTACTACTAATTAAACCAGAGGCTCCATCAATAGTAAAATCATTGCTATCTGTACTGGCTACTAATTTATATACTACATTAGCTGTTTCATCCATATCTTTAGCCTATAATGAAATACAAAATTATTCTATACATAATATAATCAGAATTTTTTTACAGTCTCTATTTCTGCTTTCTAAAAAAACTGAAAGTAACTACTATATACAATACAATAGCTACAATATCAGAATTAAATTATGAAGATATTAGAAATATTAATTGACATAAGCATGTACATGTACTTCTATAAAAACATTCTTCTCTGTTAAGGCTCAAAAATACCCTGAAAACACAATGTTTCTACACTTCTTGATAAACAAACCAATTTGTTTTAGAGCAATTTATTCCACTAAATGATTAATAAAAATATTGGGAAAGGCATCAATTTAAAAATGAACCATCAAATTGTTTAATCAAGAAAAGTAAACTATTCAAGTTACTTACAGAAACTGTTACAATTGGAGTGATACTTGAACTTTCTGGTATAGAAACTTCATAGTTGACTGGATTAAAATTGGGATTATTGTCATTGATATCTAGAACATTCACAGTAACTAAGACTGTACCAGTTCTGGGTGTAGGACCAGAATCAATAGCTGCTACTGTTATATAGTGTACTTTTTGAGTTTCATAATCTAAACCAACATTTCCAACAGAAAATTCTCCTGATGTGGGATTGATACGAAACCTGTAAAAATTTAAGAGATAAGTAACAAGGTTTTTCATGCTAAACACAATTCAAAGTCAACAGTTCTTGCAGCTTTCCTGTTAGCTATCTAGGATAAATGATTGATTTATGTCCAGATTCTCATAATCTATCAAATGTTTTCCTTTCATTGAAAAAATCATGCGAACACATGCAATTTTTTTATCACTTCTGTTCACATGAATGATATTAAAAACTTACAGATTTTGGCGATTAAAAACTTACAGATTTTGGCGATTAAAAACTTACAGATTTTGGCGATTAAAAACTTACAGATTTTGGCGATTAAAAACTTACAGATTTTGGCGATCATCAAGTAAACTGTAGGTAAATACAGCGTTTTGTCCACTATCTGTATCTGTAGCCTGTATGAATAATGAATATTAAAAGTTTATATGAAATATTGTCCATGATATTTCTAATCTTCACTAAAATTAATTCAGTCAGCCTTCAATAAAAGCCCTAAAGATATCAGCAGTAGTCAGGTTTACTATGTTCCAGCACTAAAACATTACACAACAGAATCTGACAAATACAAAAAATACAGCATTATATATTTAAAAATAAACTTACATTTACTGTTGCTAATAACTGGTTAACAACACCTTCATTTACTGAACGAACATAACTTGGTTCCACAAACCTTGGTGAATTATCATTTACATCAGTAATAGTTATAAACAACTTGGTAGTAGCAGTCTGTATAGAAAATATAACAATAAGAAATACAGATCCAACCTCCAGTTATCTCTACTGTAATAGCTTCAGATTAAGGTAATATTAACAACTAATAAGATGCTAGATTTCAACTGTTAAAGTCTGGATGATAAGCTATACTATTATAATGTTTAAAATCTACTGAATATATAAACAATACATACCAAGCCACTATTATCTTCAACTAAAAGATCTAAAGTATAACTTTGTGTTCTTTCTCTGTTTAATAACTTAACATTACTTATTGAACCACTGGAAAAGAAAATAGAAACATTATTTTCAATGTGAAAGTACTTAAGAATTATAAATTTGTAAACCATATCTACATAGATGATAGGCTCATTTAACAGGCTGTCTCTAAAGACACATGACTCCATTCAGTGTGCTTACTCTTTTTGGTATCACAACCATTGAGAGATCGATGCAAAGCCTGTAGCACAAGGGATCTCAATTCACTGTTCTATATGAACAACAAGCCTCTCCAACTTGCATCACTGACAGAGGGGAAACGGGAGAAGAATGCTAGAGCCTTATCTTAGTGAACAAAAGTCGAACTCCATTAGGCACTCAGGTTTCTACCTAAATGTCATCTTAAAAATCAAGCTGTATTTGTTTTGTACTTGAAAGAACAAAGGTAAAAACTTACGCGTTGTTAATAGAAAAATCAGAATCAGTGTTTCCACCAGTAATACTATATGTAAGAAGGCCATTCTCTGGATCTGTAGCCTAAAATACATCCCCAATTATGCTCTAAAGATCAATCAATTCACATTGAAATTCATTTTACCAAAATTGCTAATAAATCAAAACAGAAGTAACTGAAGTGCAGTGGTGTTAAGGTACATTGAAAGTCGATATACACTTTCAATTTGTAAGCCACATTTAAATCGAAATTAAAAAAAAAGAACTTACAGTTAAATTAAAGACAACACTATTAAGGAGAATGCCTTCACTAACTGTGATGGCATAATTCTGTTCTCTAATTTGTGGACCTTTGTTTCCTGATGATGTGATAGTCAAATACAGAACTCCAACATTACTGAAAAATAATACAGATCAACTTTAATATATATGTACAGTTTTTACTTATAGCTCATTAGAAAAACACACACAATACTCTTGACAAACCAACAAACTTGTATAGGCCCTACATGTTATAGTCTCAACAATGAATTGCTATGACTTGTTGTTTGATTAATATATCAAATCATATCAATCTTTATAACTCTTCATTAAGGGAGTTTGGATGAGATCTATTATCCTGATAGCTGAATAACTATTATGTCATCTAGCAAACATGTTAAATCTTTTAGATAAATTTTAAATCATTCAAATTCCTACCTTAAGGATGGATTGCCATTGTCTGAAGCTCTTACAGTAACTACATATCTTTCTCCTTCAACAACAGTACCTTGTAATTTTATAGCACCAGCATCACTGACAGCAAATTTATTACTTGGAGGTGGTTCAACTGATTCAATAACATAGCTGACTTGATTAAAATCAGTGGAATCATCATCATCTTCAGCTGCCATCTGAAATATTAATATCATAAACTTTTTATTCATCTTTTATTTATAAAAATAATATGCTAAAAGACCACAGATACAAAGGTAGGGTTTAAGATCTTATATGTTCCATTCACATCACTGTTATACAGGTCTAGTATACCATTGTATCTATAATAAGCCCTTGCAATTGAAAAGAAATAGTTTTAATATTACAAACATATATCAAAATATCATGTATCAAAGATGTAGGCCTACAATCATTTACATGTAGACAATCTCTAAATTAAAGCAGAAACTCTCTAAAACTACTAACAACTTACATTTGTGATTAATCTGGAGGAAGCAACTGTATAGATTCCTTCTGGAACAGTTTCAACATAACGGCCATTATTAGATAAGAATCTGGGTGTATTGTCATTGACATCTAGAACATTGATTGTTACAGTGGTTGAACCATTATTTCTCTCTGGTGTTTTTTCTGTTATAGTAACCTGTAAATGAAATGTTTATATTTTTACTCGTGGAAAGAGAGAAATTCAACCAGGACAGTGGTATCAGCCTACTTCTTGCTTGTAATAAACAGTTTAGCGTCCCATTCAAACAACTGGAAGCTATTTCCGTGTTATCTCTTAATAAGGGAAATCTGAATATCAAAATTTGCCTTAGACTCCAATATTTTTCTACAAGTAACAATACTAAAAAAATAACTTACATCAAATGTATAGCTTTTTATTTGTTCATAATTCAAACCACCTGCAACTAATCTTACAAAACCATTTTCATCCACTCTGAATATTGTTGATGGTGAAACTGTTATATCATAATCTTGGGTCAATCCACCAGTCTAAAATTAATCAGGATTCTAAATTAAGAGATCTGAAGTGCGGGTCAGCATCTCATGTAAAACAATGTTACTTCATTAGCTGCTTATCAATTCTTGTATCTGTACAAAACAGATACGTCAGATAGATAATACCATAGATTGATCTTTAGAAACAAAACCCTGATCATTAACATTGATGTAACTGGACCAGAGGACAAAATGTTATCAGGTTCATATCCTTTAAAAGACATCAACACTTTGTGCTATGTTATAAGGTGTCTGATGAATGTGAAGCAACAAACATGTACATACCAAATCTGCATCAGTAAAAATAAGTCTCATGGGTTCAGATAAATCTTGATTTGAAGCTAATGTTCCAGCAGCAGCATCTTCTCTAATATATCCTACAAATGGTGGTGTAAAAGTACTTCCTATTGCAGGAGGATTGCTATTGGCTGGATTGACGTTTACTTGAAGTATGGCACGGTTAAATCTCTTGTTTAATTCTTGTTCTTGAGCCTACCAAATATAAAGCATATATGTTATTGGTATGTTAGTAGTTTTTATAGAAATTCACTGTGTTAAACAATAATATTAAATAAAATAAATTGTATAGATTGTTAGATACTTTATGTTTGTAATTACCTTAATTATAACTTGCAACTGTCCTCCAGCATTTAGTAAAAGTGGATCATTTCTATTTATTGTTGAAACTAAGGATATCTGAGCTCTATACAGTGGACTTTTATAAGATGGTGTTCCAGCAGGATTAACAAATGGTCCAGATGTTACAATAGAGAATCTGTTTTCATATCCTTGTGGTTCAGCTGAAATTCAGAAACAATGGATTACATGTATAGAAGACATGTATTGTGAAGTTTTCTTAAACACAATTTTCACAAACATATTAAGTATAGACATAAGACCTATATATATGTAAGTTTTACTTACTATAAAGGATAGAGAATTGTATTGTATGGTTCATAGTATCTTGATCACGAGCCTGTATGGTTGTGGCTGCATTACCAGGAGCAGCTGGCACAGGGTAAACAGTAACCGGACCACTCTGAAAAAAGTTAGTCAAATTTAGATGTAATTTTATTATAACACATAACTTATTGTAAATATAGATGCAAAGTGATAAGAATAGATAACTTACTGTACATATAGATGTAATATGATTAGAATAGATAACTTATTGTACATATAGATGTAATGTTATTAGAATAGATAACTTACTGTACATATAGATGCAATGTGATTAGAATAGATAACTTACTGTACATATAGATGCAATGTGATTAGAATAGATAACTTATTGTACATATAGATGTAATGTTATTAGAATAGATAACTTACTGTACATATAGATGTAATGTTATTAGAATAGATAACTTACTGTACATATAGATGTAATGTGATTAGAATACATAACTTACTGTACATATAGATGCAATGTGATTAGAATAGATAACTTACTGTACATATAGATGTAATGTGATTGGAATAGATAACTTACTGTACATATAGATGCAATGTGATTAGAATAGATAACTTACTGTACATATAGATGTAATGTGATTAGAATAGATAACTTACCGTACATATAGATGTAATGTGATTAGAATAGATAACTTATAATAAATATGGATATTATGCAAGTGCTAATTGAATATATAGATATAAAATAAACAACTGAGGTTACTTACTGTAAGTCCAGATGTAATAGAAATTTTATATAAAGGATTAAAACAGACACCACTATCAACAATACAAGATTCATAGACAAATTCTGGTGGTAAATCATCTCCATCAGTTATGGCCAAACTCAGTGTTGTATAATTTACTCTCTTTGGATTTCCACCATCCTAAACATTCAAAATTATGTGGAGAATCAGAATCTATATAGCCCCATGCATATATGCACTTGTTAGCTTGCCACGCAAGGTAACATAACCTCACGACAAAAGATAGCAGCATGCTTTTCATAAAACATTTTGTACAAATTTTTGAAATTTTGTACAAAAGGGATTCTATGGTAGATATCATTTAGAATACTTTATATAAAACCTGAGTGCTATTTGATCAAATAAATATGTTGCCTTCATTGAGAGAATGAGAATATCTGCTTATTAGACAAATAATACAAAGAATTGATTAAAATAATGTCACCTTGCAAAATGTATGTTTGTCTAATTGAAATTGTATTCAGTATATATTCACTGCTAGTAATAATCATGACTTACAGATATTGAAACATTTAAATTATATACTGGTCTTTGAGCTGCATTTAAAACTTCAAAATCTAGAACATTCTTAACACTGACTTCTCCTGTAGCTGATGTTTGTATTTCAAACTTTGTTGATCCATCAAACTACAAAAATTTATAACAATAAGCATACAAAATTTTTAACAGTTACTTGTAATACATGTTTTTTCATAGCCAAAAGATTTAGTGAGTGATCTTAAATCAATCTCAGTTAACCAGATACAAATTGACTTCAGATTATTTTTGCTCCTGATTAGACTAATGAAGAGACAAATTACTCTCAGCAATATGTAATGAGTGAATATCGCAAGGACATTATCTTTCATTTTTTTTTCTTATTGTCGAAGGAAAATCAATGCCCACAGCCTGTTTAATACGGTTTTATGTCCCATTAAAATGAATTGAGGTTTCACAAGTCAGACACTCTGATCCATATCCCTACAGAAACACCTTACAACTCACCTTGATGATACAATACATGTAATAGTTAAGAAATTGGTGCTACGTAAAAATATAACTACCAATTGAAATATTATATTGATAGACAATTTCTCTAGGCCATATCAAATACATCATAAAGAAAGATAACTCATACAAACCTCTGTTCCATCACCAGGTAAAATAGCGAAATCTCCTCTACCAAAACTACCTTCATCTAAATCTGTATACGATAAACTTTGAAAGATTGTTGTTCCAATAGGCGTCAACTAAATAAGAAAGTTTATTTTTTTGATGGTGCATTTAAAAGTTAACAAATAAAAAAACCTTATTGTTATAAAGTTATTAATCAGATACATAATTATTGTATCAAATAAAAAAAGTAAAAATATGCTAATATTAGAGTTTCTTTGATGTACAATATATACTCTTACCTCATTAACAGTTCCACTGTATAATAATTGAGTAAATGATGGTGTGTTGTCGTTTAAATCTTCAAAAATAACTCTCACCAAATAGTAAGATTTCTAAAAAGAAATTGTAACAAATTGAAATGATCATACTATTTTCTTCCAGGTTAGGTAGCTTGATGCATTGTGCATTGAGAAGTACTCTTTTTCATTTTCAACCATCCCAGAGCACAGTCAGTGATATACATGGTCTCACTTTACTTATAATCTGAGTAACTGTTAAATATCCATTACAAGATATGGATAATTTTGTAGATTTTTTTTCTCAACACTTTTACATTTATACCGTTCACAGTGAAATATTTCCCTACAGGGAATGTACAAACTCCATCACGGGCATACTAATTACTATCAGAAGAAAGCAAACTTACAAAATTTGGATTTGTATTTACACTACATGTAATCTGGTATTCTACACTGTTTAAATCATCAGTAGCTTCAGGTAATTGTCCCTATAAACAAAATATTCATTATAAATTAATAATTATTCACACAATCATTGTCAAATCAGGTACCTTAAAATTACATCAGTCCTGTACATTTTGAACATTTAATAGTGAGTCACAAAGTCCCACTTGACCTTCATTTCAGGTGTATGTACATACAGAACATATACTAAGGTATAGGTGATTCACAATGAATTTGATGATTATAAGACAATTTTCCCCTGATTTACAACGTTTCGCTCAGCACATGAAATTGTAAGAGATCGTCTTTGTATCACTATGTAATATGGTAAGAAGGAAAACGTACATCTCTGTCAACACTTTTTGTTAACTGTAGAAAATACCCAGTAAGACCAGTTCTTGGTTCATTATTAAAATACACAATCTCAAAATAGTCCGCTGGTGCGAGTTCTTCTGGTACAGCTGGTGCACCTTTCTGACCCAATAGTAAGGTTACTGAACCTACTGGTGCTGTTATTCCCAGGAATCCTCGATATTCTTGTCGATTTGCTGTAATACATATTAAAACAAGTTATTATATATGCTATATATATCAAACTGAATTTGTTTTCAAAGGGTCGATGACAAAGTGGAAATGAAACAAATAGAGTTTTATGTCCTACTTTTCTGCACCTTATTGTCTTAAGCAGTTTTAACTAGTTTTAGTGTTGGTCCTTACAGTGACTTACAATAGTACTCCAACACCAACCAGAACACACAGCAACTGTAAAAGCTTTACGTTAATCATTTTTTAGACAGTTGTGGCATTCTTAAAATGAACTGCAGGATTTGTTTATTTAAAACTTTCTGATAATGCAAGGGTCTATTGTTTTTTTTAATTTGAGCAGCTAAATATCTCGACATACTGAAAAAAAAAATTAGCCTTCCAACTTAATATATACCTTTATGTAACTCACAAACCAAGATTATTGAACAACAAAACAATGGCCCCTTAACTCGAACATTAAATTAGTCTTTTGTGACTGTAGCAAAACTATCATTATTGATGCAGCATTACTAAGC